CTATAGCCAGCCTGGCAGCAAATCCTGTCAGTTCTACTTCCAAAATATATTTAGAAGCCAACCATATCTTACCTTCTCCACTGCTACCACTTGGTCCAAGTCACAATTATCTCTCACCTAGATTATTGCAATAGCTTCTAACTGATCTCATTGAGTCCACTCATGACTCCTTTCATCTATTTTTAACATCAGCAGCCAAAATAATTCCAAAATCTAAGTTATTTCATTCCCATTTACTCAAAACTCACTACTGACCCCATATCACTTATAGTAAAACTATTAAATCACTTCCACTTAAAAATCTCTATTTTGGGCTCTGCTTCTAAGAAAAGCCAGATGATATCTGTAAAGTTCTGAAAGAAAAAAGCTGTCAGTGTAGAATTATACACTAGAATAAGGAGATATTAAGAAGAGAAGAGGGGATGATGTCAGCATCATAGCAGCACAGGGCATCCCTCATTTTTGTATCACCTTTAAACAGCAAAAATTCACTATCCATCCACAGACAAACGTGCCTTTGAGGGAGCTGTGGGATCCAACACCTTATGCTAAATGACCTTGGAGGAGTCTTGCCCACCTGTGGGCAGACAGACTTGGGTCCTGGTTATGGACCCTGCTGTGGCCCATGTTCTGGCTCCTCTTGGTCATGATCTGGGAGCCCCTGGTGAACATCGACTTACAGTCACTCATGTAACTTTGTACAGGTTTCCAGAGAAGTTTCAACACTTTGTTAGAACAAAATATGTATATACAAGTTTGAACGCACTGGAGAGGGTAAGAACAGTTTGACTTTACCTATATCACCCCTTCCCCAAAGTGACGCAGTTAAAGGCCAACAAAAATCTTCCCCGGCCCCTGATTTATCCTGCAGATGAAAGGGAGAGCATGGGAGTGAACACCCTACTTCCTCAGTTGTGCAGGACACTGCCAAACAGGCTCCTTTCTCTCTCATTCCATCCAGATTACTGAATTGAGAGCTCTATAATTTGGAGAGTGGGAAGAGGTTACAAGAGTGGCAGACAGAACTCTTGGAGGACATTAAAGAGATACAGATCCTGCTTTGCAGATTTTATCAAGAAGCCTGCCCACAAGCTGTGGGGAGTGCTTCATCACAGATCAACTTCAACTGGTCCATGAAAACCCAGTGCTCCACATGCTTCACCCACACACACTCCCACGCTGTGGTCAGCTCCCTGTGTGTGTTTCTGACAGTGGCATGAGTGGGTTGTGGCCAACTGACATTTGAGCACATGCAGAAAGTTGGCTGAATCTGCAGGCCAGGGAGAGACCACAAACTTGAACTTTAGGGCCACATGTGGGAAAACAAGAGAAAGGCTGTGAGCACAGGGCCTGGCGTGTTACAAAGTGTACAAGCTTAGGAATTCTGTCACAAGAGGGACCAAGAATCATGGAGCAGGTGTATCCATAGGTCTGAGAAAGCCTCAGAATCTCTAGCAAGGCTGATGGGAGGTATCTCTCTCCAATGCAGTTAGTAAAAACTGCAGGAGGTGACTGTGAAGACAAAAATGCAGAACTTAGAGGAACATAAAAGGTCAAGGTAACACGACACCACCAAAAAAATAATAGTCTTCTGGTAACTGAACCCAAAGACAAGGAGGTGTCTGATTTGCCTGATAAAGAATTCAAAATAGCTGTTTTTTAAAAAACTCAATGACCTATGAGAAAACGCAGGAAGACAATTCAACAGGAAATCAGGAAAATAATACACAAACTAAATAAGTTTATCAAAGAGACAGGAATCATAAAGAAAGAACCAAGCAGAGATTGCTGAGCTGAATAATTCTTCTCAAACTTCCTAAAAATTGGAGAGAATATTCCCAAATTCATTTTATGAGGCCAGCGTTACCTTGATACCAGAGTCATAAGGATAGTACAGGAAAAGAACACTGAAGACTAATATCGCTGATAAATATAGGTGCACAAATTCTCAACAAAATATTAGCAAATCCAGTTCAATAATACATTGAAGGGTTCATACACCATGATCAAGTAGGATTTTTTTCAGAGGTGTGAGGATAGTTCAACATATGCAAATAAATAAATGTGATACATCACATTTATAGAATGAAAGATAAAAATTATATGATCATCTCAACAAATGCTTCCCCAAATTTGACAAAATACAAAATTCTTTAATAATAAAACTTCTCAACAAATTGAGCATAGAAAGAACATACCTAAACATAATAAAGGCCATATATGAAAAGCCTACAGCTAACATTATACGCAATGGTAAAGGGCTGAAAGCTTTTCCTCTAAGATCAGAAACAAGGCAAAGGTGTCCACTCTCACCACTCTTAATTCAACATAGTACTGGAAGCCAAGCCAGAGCAATGAGAAAACACAGAAAGTAAAAAAGTAGAAAAAGAAAGTAAAATTGTCTTTGTTTGCAGATGACAAAATATTTTGTGCAAAATTCTAAAGACTCCACCAAAAACTGTTAGAGCTAATCAACAAATTCAGTAAAGTTGCAGGATACAAAATCATTATATACACAGAAATTAGTTGCATTTCTATACAATAATAATGAAATAGCTGACAAAGATATTTTCTCTTTCCTCTCCTGGGATTCCAACTACATGTGTATTATATTTGTGATGTTGTCCCACAGGTCTCTGAAGCTCTGTTATTTTTTCTTCAATCTTTTTTTTGTTGTTCTTCAGACTGAATAATTTCTATTGATCTGTCCTCAAGTTTAGTCTCCTATTTCCACTATCTCAAATTTATTGTTGAGACCATCTAGTGGCTCCATATTTTGGCTATTATAATTTTTGAAACTGGAATTTCCATTTGGTTCTTTTCATAGTTTCAGTTTCTTTATTTAAATTTCCTATTTGTGAGTCATATTGTATTTCTTTTATTTTTTTAAATTAATTAATTATTTTAATTGAAGAAATGATTCAAAATTTTTCCCCCATCTACCTCTCCCTTCCCCTTCCCTCTTGCACTCTGGTAACTCATATTTTCCTTTAAAATTATTTAAACATAGTTTTATCTCTTTTAACATATTTACAAGAACAACTTTGAAGTCTTTGCTGCTAAGTTTAGTATCAGACTCAATTTCTGTTGACTGTTTTTTCCCCTGTGATCATATTTCTTGTTACATGTCTCAGAATTTTGTTAGAAATTAGACAGTTTACATAAAATATTGTAGCAACTCTGGATTCTGGTATGTATGTATGTGTATATATATAATTCTTTTTTTATCTGAAGGTTGCTATTGTTTTAATAACTTACCTAGATTTAATGTGAAGAATCTCTCTCCTCTGCAAGTTGTAGCTGCTAATATCTCTGCTCGGTTTTTTCATTTTTACCCTTTTGTTTATTATTTTATTCTGACTTCCTGGGAATCACACCTTTTTGTGCATACTTAGTGGTTAGCCAATAATTGATCAGAAGGTTGTGTTCAAACACCCCTAGCACATAAAGCTTCCATTCTCTGTCAGTGGAGCTGGATATAGATTAAAACAATGCTTTCAAAATTCAGGCATTTTCAAGTCTGCTTCAACTTTTACTTTATAATAGACTCTTTTGAGCTTCCTGAACACAAGCACACAGCATCCCAGTTAGCCAGAGATGTATAGAGAGTATATCTGATATTTCTTTGGTGCTCTCATTTTCAGTATTGCTCTCTACATTTTTGGCTGGTTTGCCACTCACTCTTACTAGACCATACCTTACTCTAGCAGAGCTATGGATTTTTCCTGTTTGTTTTTTTGTCAAGTTTGCTACTTATACTGACAATGACTCTGGGTATGGATTTTTGCTCTCTGCTCCCAATCAAATCAGTTGAGTTCCCTCTGGCTGGGAAGCTGCTGGTTTTTACAGCCAGCTATATTCTGAAAAAACTATAGTTTCTCACCAACTGAGCTGGAGGTGAGAGGAGTAGCCCCCAGCAAGAAGGCTGCAAACGCCCACTGTTCTTACTCAGAATTCCAAAAGTTTTTCGGGAATACATGCTTCTTAATTTTTTGTTTGCCTTAGGTTAACTTCCAAGGCCCTTAAGTGATTGTTTATTTATTTATTTTTTGACAATTCTGTATAGTTTTATGCTTTCTTTTTTTTCGGAGAGAAAAGTTTCTAAACTCTTCACCCTACCATAGTTGGAAGTCCTGCCTCAAAAAATATTTTTGCTACAATTTTTGGTTAAATCAATACTCAGCGTATATATACTATAAATATATAAATGATTTTATCTCTGAAGTAGATAGTAAACTATGTTTATTTTATTGTTCACTTCAGTTTTTCCTGGAATTAAAAAATAGTT